TACAATTTACTAATAAACTTTATACAAAAAGTTAGTTATTTAAATTATTATTATTATTCAAGTGTTTGATCAAAAGCAAAAGTGCCAGAAATCTTGCTTCATTGGTATGTGATTTGGCGTACCATTGACCATTGTTGGTAGATCTGTACAAGAATGTAGTTTCTGACAGATTTGAAAGTTTTATTTGTGCATTCTTGTAAATTCAGGTTAAAGAAAAGATTGAAAATCCATCACCGGGAAGTGACTTTGATTTGAGTCCATCAGTAATTGAAGGTAAAAACAGTTCATCACAATTTAACATCAATTTAAAAGCAGATGAATGATGTAAAAATTTTTTTAAGATAACTTGGTTTTCTGTTACTTAATCTTAACATGTTAGTGTACAGGGAAATATATAGGTATATAGTAAATCTACACATGAAGTATCAATAACAAAATTTATTACATTTACAGTGTTTTTTTTTATGTCAGCAAGAGATCAAAATTACCATTTATGGCATTTTGTTTTATAGAAGCCAAAAGAGATTTTAACTACCCAATGCACCCTCAATTATCGGGCATAGAACCTGGTCGAAGGACTTGTAATCATCATTGTACCAACAAAAAACTCTGTGGCCATGACTGTTGCAAGTTTGGGGTTACTTTTAATGCTAAGAAACCATCAGAAAATCATCTTAGTTCATTTTTTGATGAATTGCATCATAGAGCTAATTTCTTACCTAAACCTTCTTCAAAGAGATTGAAGGTAAAATAGATTGTCACTGTTTTAGACTTAGCAAAAATATTGTTTAAATGGTCGATGTTAATTTGTTGTACGAGTATTCTTGTAATATGTTCTGTATTTTACCTGTTCTACAAAAGTTAGATTATTTCATTTAATATCAAATAGAAGAACACATTCTGTTCTTGAAACATACATTTGGTTGCTGTACATGTTTTTCAATATTTTAATGTTTGTTTCATTCTCACCTTCCAATATCTTAATGTATAGAACTACTTATAACTGATAATTAATGTATCCTTTATGTTACATTAAATATTTACTGTATGTTTAGCTTAAATTTATTGTTTTGTCTGTGTAAATGTTTGGATAGCTGGGTGTTTGTGGACTGCTACTGTACTCGAACCACTACAGGTGTATTGGTGGGTTTCTGTTTTTCTTTCTCATTCGGTATTATCATTACTTTAGACTAAAGGCATGCTTAATATTTGTACTGTTGTATAGCTACCAGTTTTGCTTAGTTAAGTTAGTGAAGTGGTTACATGGTTTTTAAGAGAATATTGTCTGTTGTACATATGTTGCTGCTTGCCGACATCAACTGACATTGCCTTCGTGCAACTACACGCACATCTTTCTCTAAATCTGTTACTCAATATTTTTATTAATTTTGAATAATCCTGCTTTCTTAAACAGTACTTTTATAAACCTTAGATTTTCAATGACTAGTACTCTTTTTTTATAATACTATTAGTTTTTAAACCAGTCCTTACAGGTTTTTGTATCATATTTCTTTTCTTTTTTGACATATTTAGAAAATACTCATCTTCACTTCATTTTTTTTATTTGAGTTAGTATTAAAGAAAATGTTCTGAAAAATTTTGTTGTTTCTTCTTAAACATCTTTGTTTAAATAATTCTTATTTTTCCTGTTCTACAGTTGGCAACAACAACCACACCTTCTAAGCCTACAATTTCGAAGGAAGACCTGGTGGCAAGATTTAGTTACACACCCTGTAGTAGAAGCACACCTAGGACCTCTGACACCTCTGTCACAACAGACACATCTGAAGGATGGGATATTTTTAACCTTTATCAGTTAAACAAGGAGAAAGAGTATGGAGATTTATACAGTGGTCAGATGGGTGTGTATTGTTATTTTTGAAAGTACTCCAGGATTATGCATAAAAGATTATCTTTTTCAGTAGCTTTGTCATTTGTCTTCCTAATGCCATACATAATTATCATTGAAATAATTAATTAGTAATATTTTGTTCAGTTTGACTTTAACAGCCAGGAAAAATTGCATCTGAGGAGCATTTAATGTTTTATGCACCACATGTGAAATTTTTTTAATGTTTATATTGTAATAATTTTGTTATTGTTTTGTCATAAACATGTTGAAAATGAAATTAAAAAACCCCAATCGAAAATCACATAAAAGAGAAATCTTTATGTTGAAGAAACTATGTAGTTTTATGGATAACATTTTATTTATTATATTAGTCATGAAAGTGGATCAAACAAGTGTGAACATAAGCTACTACTTTCAAGACATGATTGAACAACTAATATGATAATTGGTAGAATAGTTAATATAAGTTTATAAGAATGGTTCCATTTAAAAATTCTAAAATTATTTTCACATTTTTTTACTTAAATCAATTTGTTTAAATCATATGCTTAGTGGAACAATAAGTCTTTTTTTTTTTAGAGAAGAAAGAAAATTGTAGAAATACTAATAAAGAATACCAAACCCCAAAGTTGGGAGAAAATTGTCCGAAACCTGATTTTAATCTGTATGTATACTATTTTATGTAAAATCAATTCCAAGAAAGTAGTTTTATGCTACACTTACATTTGTTATATGTTTAAGAAGTGCTGTTTTTTGTACATTATTTTTTTAAATTTAAAGAATAGTTGTTTTTCACTTTAAAATCAGTCATAGCTACATGTGCCTAAGTTGTTAACTAAATCTACTGGATGTTAATATGTTGATGAATGCTCATTCATACCTTATTGATTCAGCAGGTGTTCAAGTGAAATTTGTGAAATGAGAATAAGTATAAGATAAATATATAAAAATATTTAATATATCCAAAGCCATAATTTACAAAAGTTATTTTGAATGGTTTAATATTTGCATCACTCTTTATGAATATTCTTACAATACATACAGAAAAAGCACATGGGCCTATATCAATTATATCGAAAATCTGACAGTTTGTTGTTTTTTAAGTGTCATATTTTTTTATATTCTTAAGGTTTATCTGTTTAGATAGATTTAATGTACTGTCAAATATTACTTGAACAGACACAACAAACCCTTGATTTAGTTTGATACAAAAAGAAAAGAAACATCTAAAATTTAAGCACAATGATATGCTGACAGGAGATTATAGTGATTTTGTGACTACTGATTACCAAGTATTTCTCATCTATTCAACTTGCTGTAATAGCCCTTTAAATGTGATCAGATAGAAAACTAAAACCAAACCTGGTATTTAAAGGAAATTGTGCATTTGCTCATAATTTGAAGAGAGGGTAAGAGATGGTTTGCTGATTGAAGAACAATTTCAGACAGGCCTTCACAAGAATCTCCAAAATAAACATACACTTTATTTTTTTTATACAACAGTGAATGGTTATATGTGGAAACTAAATTTTGTAAACCGAAAGCAAAGTTTTAAAATGCACCCAATTAGATCTTCTAGGTATATTACACCTTTTTTTTTATATATAAATAGAAAATGTTTGTCTGTGTAAGATAACAAAAATAGTTGATTTCTTGAAGATGGTAAATTGTGGTCTCTGTTTAATAGCTTAATTTAGGTATTTGATGGGTGATTTTATCCAAACTTTTCATCTTAGTAGTCTAACAAGTGATAGTTTTTTTTATGTGTTGCTCTACCAGTAATGCTTTTTTTTTTGTTATGGTATATGCATCCGAACAAAAAAGTATTTAAATATTCTCTCAGACAAACTGAGAGCTACATACTGATTTTTGTGTAATAAAAAAGAACACCATTCTCACTAGCAATTTTACAATCAAAACTAGAAGTACATGTGTCTGTGTATATTTTTGAGTCAAAATCTCATCAAAACTTTTTACCTGAAAAAAGATATATTGATAAGGCTATTTTACCTGACATTTTTAGAATGTCAATCAAATACTTTGGATAGAACCTGACATTTTTGACTGTTTCAGTTTAAATCATTTTCATTTCTAATTCAGAAGCTTATTACAATATCAATATGAAAACTATTTTGTGTGATTTCAAAGTTTCACTGTCAAAATGAAAACTTTCATTTGTAATATATACATATAGTTTAATAGAATGGAAGCTTTTATACGACATCTTACCAAAATCATGGGAAATATTCCATGTTGTATATAAAACAATATGGATATTTATATATGATATAGAAGGGCATGAAACTATTCATTTTGTCTTTCAACTTACAACATTAGTTTATATGGGAAATGAAAAGATCAAATTACATTGAAACTTGGAAAACATGCAGCACAAGTATCAACAGAATATTTAATCTAGAAAATCTGTTAAGTAAAGAAAAATTAAACCTCTCTCTCTTCTTTATTTGTAATTGTGAATATGGTAATCAACACAGAAACTAAAAGCATATGTTTGATTTGAAATAATATGTGATAGAAAATAAACCAACATTTTTTATTGTCGTGAAATTAAGTTATTTTATAAGATTACGTGCAAAGACATTGCTGGGACTGAGGATGTAACCACTAAAATCCAGAAGTGAGAGTTTGAAAAAAAGTAGGCTTTATGATCGTCCAGAAAATTATGTAGTGTATCTGACATCTAGTTAGAATTTTTTAACTGGAATAAAAAGAAACAAATTTATAAAGCTGATAATAAGATACTACTGAAATTAATTGTGAAAACAGAATTGGTACACTTACAGAGTAGCAAATAATGGTTAACTGTGACGAGATAGTGAATTTATTAATGATATAAAATATTATCAGAGAAACAGAAAATAAAAGCAAATAAACTGTACAATGCCTTTTGCTTTACATTGATCATTACAGTTTATCACGAATGATTGTGGAATATTGTTCCAAATGTCTCGTTTACTCCACACAATTTAGCCAAGTGTTTTAGTCACCTTTTGACCCTCTCAAATTTAATATGAGCCCATTTAGTCTCAAGAATGTTAATATTGTGACTGTGCAGGCCAAACTATGATAAATGTTTCATTGGACATTTTACCTTCAAGATGTAATTTTACCACAATTGATGTATGCTCAGCTTCATTGTCTTTTTGCTGGAAGATTAATCCCCCATCTGATGAGTCATGTTCCTGAAGGAGTGAAATGGTGCTATTAAATATATCTGTACTGAATTCAGGGTGTCTACAGTTTTCTTTAAATCATCAACACTATTAGCTGAGATGCAACAAACTTGTTATGGTTTTGTATCACACACCACTGTGGATGTTGTACATTGACTATGATACAGTTCTCATCTGAGCCATCAAAAATAGTGTCATACCTTGTTACTAAACAATTTGGATTGGATTCATCTGCACAGATCACATTTTTCCACCTTTGTTCATTATATTGTTTGTGATCTGATACTCTTTTCAACCATTTGGTTTGATTACCTCTTTTCAGAAGAGCTTTTTGGGCAGCTACATATATATATATATTGAGACCAATTCATGCTAATGTGTATCTTACTGTTCTCAAGGTTAAAATTCACAATTGTGTTAACAGTAAGGTCAGTGGCAAGATATGTACTCGACCTTCTTTTAATTCATAAAATAAATACCTTGAGATATTTAACATCATTTTTGGAGAGTTTCACTTTTCTACCTTGATCACTTCTATTATTAAAAGTGCCAGTTTTATGTACCCTCTTCAGAGTCTTGAATAAAGCTCCTACAGAAACATTAAGTCTTGCCATAATATTTCAGAACTGGGAAACATGACTGGATTCACACTACTACTATTGGAGTATGATTGTCTGTATATACTTTTTATATAGCTTTTTACTGGTTTGGCACTTTCTGATTGGTTGGATGTATGACAACCAGTCACATTGCAAACTTTCAAAATGTTACTATTTGTGGCTACAATTCATTTTCACATGATAATGGATGGCATTTCCATTGTATTTATCCTTTTCTTTCTTCACAAGTTTCATAATTATATCCAATAATGTGTATAAAACCTATTTTCTGATATCCAATGTGACTTTATAGTAAGACTGAATGGTTGTTACTCTAAAACTCGAAGTTTCTTCCTTGTGGTGGGCCTATTTTATAGATTTAATTGACCTTTAAAACAGATTTAAACAAGTTAACTTCCTGAACTATTACATAATCTTGTATGTATAAAACAACATTCTATTCACAGTATTTAATTTAAGCTGATCAAAGCATATGAATTAGATTTGTCTGCCCATTTTCTTTTTTCGTTGCTACTAAATAGCAGTATTTCTAATTAGAAATTCTTAATAGGGAAAAATTAATTTTTCAAATTTTAATTTGAATACAGATCCCCCCCTTTTTAACATTCACTTCCTCACCCTTATATAAAACTTGAATATTCCTATAGATGAATAAACATTGATGTAGGAGGTCACGATATTCAGTGTTTATGTTAGGATACCTTGAACATTTATTGTATGCTCTGTTGAAATTATTATTTATCAAACGTAACTGAAATAAATTTTTTCATGTAATTTCGTTTTTCATTAAATTGTATTTATCATGTCTAACCAGTAGATTAATCCACAAAAATTCAAGTTCCAATATCAGGATTAATTTTCTATAAATGTATATTTTTTAGTGAACTTGAAGACATTGAATTAATTGATTGTACTAGTGATGACAGTCAAGAATGTCTGATGTATTACTCTGGACCAAATCTCTCTGAAAAGGTTTGTGTTCTTTCCTATAAATTAATATATATATATATATATATATATATACTTTAAAAACGAGATTTACACATCAATATCTTTAACAGTTCTATATGTATTATTAAAAAAAAAGATTCAGTCTAATTAATACAAAAAATCAGGAACTGAATCAATTGTGTTGGCAGATAGAAAAACTTGCCTCCGATCAGAATAGAAATATACACTTTTATACTAACTTGTGTGGTGCAGCACTCCCTTGCAAGAAGGAACAATAACATTGTAACACTATTTAAGTAAGATGATATTTATTTGTTACTGATTTGTTATGTATGCTTTTCATTTCAATATAAACTATTGTTCATGCTTGTTAAACATGTATGATGTATCTCAAGATAATTTTGTTAGAAAAATCATTCATTAATGTTAAAGCATGAATCCTGATGGATTAGTGAATATTAAGTTAGTAGGGTTCTTTTACTTTCAAATGAAAGACTTGCTTGTCATATTTTAATACAAGAACAAGATTAGGAAAGTAAGCTTCTTATCAATAAACCATTCATACAATTAATCACATGGAAGTGCAAACATTAAAGTGCTGTTGCCCATGTAATTAATGCACTTGAAATCAGCTAGAAATTTATTTTGTGAAAAAAGGCATCTTATATATATTGGCAAGTAAACAATTTTTAGTATTGTTGAAATGACTTTTTTTTTTAACTTATTGCAACAGTTTGGCTTTATGATTTGTAATAAACAAATATATTATCTTTGAAACATCTTTTAATAACAATGTGTAATAACACATTTTCAATAAAACAGACACTTTAATTTTGAAGTTATAAACTTTCCATTTCTAAGTACAAATGTTTAAAATACATTATGCTACAATGTTTACTACTCACAGCTTATTAAATACAAGAAATTTTGCTCAATATTATAAGATTTTGTGGACAGAACTCAAACATATACTTTCTTTACATACAAGAATTTTCTCATCACATCTATGTATTTATTTCTCCAATAAATTAAGCATTTTTCTTGCTACCAGTTATGGGATTAATAATTTTTCAAAATATCATGACATTTTTAAAAACTCACATCAGCACCTTAATTTCATGATCTTAACAAATTTTCTATGGTAATAAGAAACATTAGTATTATTATGTCAATTTCACAGTGTTAATGTAGTCATAATTTTTAATTTCATTTTTAGTTTTAGCCAAGATGATAACAATCTTTGGGAATTTAAATCTTAAATCTTAGTCAATGAGTCTAATTTAGTCATTGTCTTAGTGTACATTGATTAAGATGGTCTCACATTTTTTTCTTTCATTATGCTTTGGTAGGATTATACCACTAACTGCACTGTGGTAGAGGACAAAGATATGTTGGTTGATTCTATTCTTGTTGAAGATTTCCAAGACCAAGAAGGAGACACCAAACATGCTTGTAATCCAGCCCCTGAGAAATCAGCATATAAGGTGTGAACTTCTAGAAGCATGTCCAAATTTGTCGTAATTTGGTCACAGTTTGATCAGTTTTCTTTTTTAAATAGCTATTAATGTAAAATACAGACACACTTTGACATGATAGATAAATGTTAATTTAGTGTATAAAACATGAGTAGTGATAATAAAGCATTAATTTAATTAGCAGTTTTGAAAAATAGGAACAGGAGGACTTGTAAGTTTTATTTGTTTATTGAAAGCTGTATAGTTAATATATGTAAATGTAGTAGCATAAATATTATGTATCTCATTATTTTATTTTGTAGTATTCACTATGTCTGAGTATACGTATGTGATATTTCTGTGTTTAATAGAATGTTTAGTTGGATTCTACATGGTTATGTATTTAACAATTTATTGCTGTTGGAGTTCAAGATTTCATCCAAAACATCTTTTTCAGTTTTACTTGTGATTATCCAAAGCTGAATTTTCTTGGGTATGTCTTGAATAATTTAGTAACAGGTAATTTTTTTAAACCAAATTAATGTGTTGATCACATTGTGTCAAGTTTGAGGTCATGATTATTTGAATATTCAATGTAAATAATGCCATCTATCTACATAATTGAGTTGCAAGTAAATTCTATAATTGCAGATACTGTATTACAGTATATTAACATTCTTTTATTTCATTATAGTCATTTTAGTTGACTCCGTAGATATGTAAGGTCAATGTTGAGAGATCTAAACCAGAAAATTATTTAAATTTCTGAAACTGTGTTAGCATTTGTCTTATTCAATAGTAAATGACATGCCTTATCATTTTATAAGAATTTTTTATTGTAGTAGGTATTTTTGTTGTTTAGAATAAAAAAATATCTTAAAATGGGTATTTCTGTCTTACAGTTGGACAAAGTTCATCCTTCACTTGCTACTTTTAAATGGAAATCTTCTTTCAAAGGCATGCCTCTTAGGACAAAACCATCAGAATCAGCAAAATTAGGGTGAGTTGTTTAAATAACTCTTAAGTGTCTTTTCAAAAAAGCAAGTATTATCACATTTCAGTTCATAATTTATATCTTAAAATTTTAAATTGTGTTTTTTACAAAAAAAGGGGGTTAAATATTGAATATGTATTTTTTATTTCTAGTTAATATTTTTGACATCATAATTGTTTTAATTTTTCAGCCATCTATATGTATCAGGAGATGATGTATACAAAAATAGCTTCACTTTAGCTTCATCTTTATTGCCTTCCAAGCCAACTGACAGTTCTGCTTGTGATCATACCTGTGTTTCAAGGTATTTACCATTCATTGTTCTTTATATATATATATATAAGGTTTATTAATTGCAACATTTAGAAACTAATAATATTTGTGTTTCAGCACTGTCAGATTTTCCTCTTCTATTATTCTAACATTAAACTTCTAGAATGTTAAAATCATTGCTTTTCAGAGCAGAACTGAATAACAAGTCCCACTTTTTTCAACCTAGGAGTCCTTTTAGTCTGTCTCTAGATAGGACTACAGGTAATGAAAATTATCATGTAACCCTTTATAAGGACAGCTTTCCTTGTCTTTCTCTTGATGATGATAGTGAAAACAATCAACTTGGACATAAAGCTTGTTTAAAGAGTCCCAAGAAACCCTTAAGGTGAGAAGAAAATGTTTAATTTAAATATATTTTTACAAGTTGAACATTGTTATTTCTGCTTTAATGTTGAACCTCGTAACCAAAAAGACAGCGTTGCAGATCAGATGTTTATATTAAAAAATATTTGATCTGCATCATTGCCTTTGTTGTTATTTGAAAAACCAATAGACATAAAACAGTCTGTTTCCTATGCATCCTTTGTGTTTGACATTCTAACATGATATGTGTAACTAAAACAGTTAGTAAAGTCTAAAAATATATTTAATGATGGAAACATATTAAAACTCTACCCAAAGTAAACTCAACTCAAAGAATATTTTTTGTTGTAATAGTACTTTGAAATAGATAAGTGATTTTTGTGGACATTAAGGAAAAGATACTTAGAAAAGTATAATTGTACTAAGTACCTACAAACACAGTTAGGTTATTGATGTGATCAAAATTTAGATTGTATAAAAATTCCTTTTTCAGGCAAGTTAACCGATTTATTATTTTTTTGAAGATAGTAAGATATGTGAATTTGCCTTATCAGTAATAGAAAAATTGAGAAATGTGTGGAAACATATATTATGGTAACTTTTTTTTTCCTTGTAAATAAATTAACAAATCAATCACATTTGATACTAAATTAGTAGTTATTAACATTCTTCTTACTAATTTCTTAGGAAATAAATTATATTTTCTTTATTACATTTATCCATCAGAGATTTACGTTATACAGAATAAACATACTGTACATGCATAATAAAAAGAGGAATAGCTTTATCCGTGATTAAGTGTTTTATGTTTTGAGATATTGGTTGTTTTCAAATGTAAAGAAAAAGCTTATTATATGGACACTCTGACTCATTTTAACTATAATGTAAAAATATAGCTCATGGGTAATATTTTTCAGAAATATTGATTTTTTTTTAACAATGAATCTCTTAGCCAACCAGATCAAATGTGAAATTTTGGGGAACAAAGTAGAATCCACATGAGATCAAGAAATCCAGAAAAGTTGCAATAAAATATAGGAATATGTAGGGCTTTCACTGTGGCTTTTTTTTTTTTCTATGGGTAACAGTAGTTTTCTGTTTCCCCAAAGTTAACCACTCTCACTGCTCTGGTCATGGCTGTCTAGTCAGTAATGGTTGTCTTTGTAACTGCTCAACTGAAGTTTTAATTCTTATCTCACAGTGAAAACAGCTTTATTAGGTAATCAGTCTGCATCATGAATTATTTTGCAGACACCTATTCTTCCTATCCTCAATAGTCTGCAGCATTCTTCTTCATCATCAGCAGTTTCATTGTTCTGCACTATTCTTCATAAATTCTTCTACAAAATTTGCAGCCTATTCTTCATCATTCATCACTATATTTATTGTTCTGCACTATTCTTCATAAGTTTCTATATTCTGCAGCCCATTCTTCATTATCATCATCGCTATTTTCATTGTTCTGCACTATTCTTCATAAGTTCTTCTACATTCTTCATCATCACTATTTTCAGTGTTCTGCAGCTCATTTATTTACATTATCATTATTTTATTCCTTTTTCTGTGAACAGTTTGTGGTCAAGATAAACTGGCCATGCATTGTCACTCTGAAGTAAATATCCCTTGACCCATTGATTTGTAAGGGTTTCTCCAGTGTAGGGTCTTTTAAGGGTATCAATCCACAGTCATTTTATACAGAGAAGTTTCAATAAACTTATTGTATTGGTATATCAGTTTTGACCATAGATACTGTATTACAATAACACCATGATCTCAGGCAACATTTAATAAAAAAATTATCTATCTAGCAGCAAAAGAAAATCATTTTATCTCCTTCAGTTCTTTTTGGTTTTGAGGTTGACAAATGCTACTTAATTCCTCGTATAACAATGCATTGTCCAAAAATATGCAAGAGAGTTTAGGAAATACCAGATGTGTGTCTTATGGAGGTATAATACTGTACAATGGCATTGTTGACTCAGATTTTCTTTTAAAATTTTACTCAAATCAATAGATAATAAGTGCTGCTTGAAAGTTCTTTAGAAATACTTATATAAAATTAGTTGCAAGTTTTCTTCAATTCTGTATAATGCAGCAAAGTAGCAGTTGGATAATGTGTATTAATTGTGATTATTGATATGTTAATATTTCTAAAATCTTGAGCTTCAAATTAGTACAAGTAAAGTAACATTTTGATATATAAACCCTTGTATTTTTATAGTGTTTGTGATCTTAAGGACTTGGAAGATGCAAAAGCAACTTTCAACAGCATATTTGATGGAATCCTATAAAATAGTTATTTTGTATGTTTTTAATATGCATACAGTGTATAACTAAGATTTTGTTTTTGCTGGGACGACAAATATTATTCATTAATATATTTTTGTTTCTTTGGTGGTGCCTTTTGTGACTGAGTTGAAATGAACATCACATTTTATTTAGCATTATTATTATTTTTCCTTTATCATAATGTTTGTATTAAATGAGACACAGTGAAGTTTATTTAAGCTGAGAAGTATTGGCTGGTATAAAGGTATTTAATGCAGCAGTCATGTTATTTAAACACAGTGACATTTGTTTATTCATCTATTGAAGGGTGGTGTATTTTTTATAACTAAGCATACTGTTCAGAGTGTTCAGTTTATGTCAGTAACATCATTCTAAAGAACTTTGTTTGTGTTGGAATTCAGCTATCACTGATATGGTTTAAAGTATTTACAGTCTTCAGGAGGTCTTTGATTGTGAATTCTACATATAGACATTACATGTTGATTTCAATTATATTAAACAGAAATGAAGAACATGAAAATACATAGTTATGTTTAAATAAACTAAAATATTTAACTCATAAAATTTTTCATGTTATTTTTGTGTAACAAATACAAAAAATTATGTGTGCAACTATTACGTCATCTTATGAATGTAGTGTATTTGAAATTAATAAATTAAAATAAATATTAAGTATTAAAGCTATATAAGTAGACCTATAGAGTACTGTAACATCTACTTTTTTACAAAAATAAAATAATATACACAAGGTGGTTGTAAAGTCATCAGAGATGAGTTCGAAGGAGTGTGATGGTTAAATATGACAATAGTGAAGAACCCCATCTCTATTAGATATGGGGCTTTCTAAAGATACAGATCTTGTGCCATAACCAAATAACTATTCGTCCACAGAAAGATGGCTTTGGTTCAGAGGTTTAGAAAAGTCTTGGGAAGATATTATGGACTGCATTATTCAATACCATGGAGTAATTAAAAATGATAGTAGCAACATCTCTGTAATCCATTATGCACATAAAGAATATTTTCCATATGTAGGTGTTATATGGTTTCCCCTTTATACTATTCTGGATGCCCTGTATAAGAGACAACCAGAACTATATAAATTTAAAAAAAAATTCTAAAAAAGTGCAGTTGTTTACAGTTGGTTTAATGGTTTATCGAAAGATATTTTTTTGCAACTGGTTTGAGTTTCTACTGTACATGCAATTGTAAATAACTGCCTAATGTACCTATCCATGTTTCAAGAAGTGTTAAGTTTCTTATCATCACTGTCTCATGCTTATAAACTCACTATCCTTATAATTACATTTACATAAAAGGCATATGTTTCTCCTAAATTGGCAAAAAATAAATAATTGCAATTTTTTATATTATTCAAATGGTAAGGTACAATATAATGATTTTGAGATAAAACATACATTCTTAGAGATGAAATATAAAAATATAGTTCAATAGCAACCATGAGGGAACTTGACTCATGTCAAACGTTTTTTATTCAATAATTTAACTTATCCATATGCAAAATTTTCCCAATAGACTAAAGCAAATACACATTTATAACTAAGCACAGAATAAAGTTGTTGCTGATAACTTTTTTTTGAGTAGTGATCAGTTTCAAAAGAATATTATTCACAAAATATATTCAAATTTTATTTACCACTAACATTGATAACTTGACATTCATGGCAGAGAAAGGCTAAATTAAAAACATAATTATTTTAAGGTAATGACTCACTAAAAATTTTAAGAAGGGTTTATACAACATTTGTTCTTTTAATCTTTCATATAAAAGCCATTAAATGGCATACAGTTCTGAAAACAAAAATTTAACACTTGAGACAAATATATGCCAAGCATGAAAACTTTAACAGCTTACTTGTAAAATTAATTCTATCATTTGAAAAAAAAATAATTCATTAACAGTAATTGTATTAAAAACTAAAGTTTAATATACTCATATCTTGAAGATTTTCACCTAGAAGTTCTAATAGACATGATTTTAAAATGATTTATATGTATTAAGTGATCAAACATTTCTTTTACTAAAAAAAATATACTTTTGGGACTTAGAAAGATAATACACTTTGGATTAGTTCCTCTAAACTGTCTACTAAATCAAAAGACCCTATCCTGTGGGCATGCCGTTAATAATATATTCATAGGGAAGTCTGAAATATGTTTTTACACACCTTTTCTTTTTGAGATAAGACATCATTCTAAGCCTGAGAAGATATATCTTAATGTTTTACAAATTTAAATATTTTGAATAGAAATAGAAAATCAAGTTGCTACCTTTGAATTTTTTCATTACCAGTGAGTGTTTTATGTAGAAGTAACATGATCTAGCAGTTAAAACTAAGTGGATGCATAAAAGCACAAGGTTCTTTAAGATGGAAATTTTTGTTCACCATAAGGATTTCTATATTTACATATATTGTGTTCAAATAATTATCTCACATGTTGAAAACCAGAAAAGGATTTTATCCTTCAGTCATTGTCTTAGGAATTGTCATCAGTGATTGTTGTAGCATTCAGGTATGAAAGCTGGTCTTGTGAGGCTGTTTTCTTTATACTGTTTGAGTTCCAGAAACCACCTTATTGACACTTTGGGTCCACAGCACCCTACTACTGTTGTTCATGTGAGACACAGGCAATACCAAGCTAGTATAGGTGAGTCACTCTGACTGTCAGTGAGATATAGAATACTCTTTATATGAAACATGATGGACTGAAACTTTGCACAGAGAAAACCATCCCTTTCGTTACTGGTCCCCACGTTATATAGTCCATCCTCAGACAGATGTTCGTGTGTGTGTAATACCACTTGCTTTAGCTGGTGTACATCTCATGTCAAGTGTAAACTTTATTCAGATAACTGTTGAAATTTCAAAGCCACATCACTTATTTCAATCTTCTTTAATTTTGACATTTTTTTTACACTAAGCCTTCATACTTTATAGTCTGTTGGAGTGTATGTTTAGTTGTTTCACCAGTTCAAGCATGCTTGTGCAACAGCAAAATCAAATTATGTGTTTGATATGAGAACAGACTAATACCAGTTTTCAAAAGCAACAATTCCTATGAAATGAATCTGTAGGTTGACAAATACTATGTCCAGTAACTTCCATTGTTTTATGTAAACATGTATTCCTTTTTTACCTTCCAATGCAAATTTTATGACAAACCTTGAAATATTAGGTTCCTCTGTAGGATGCTTGTTGCACCATTCTGTAGAAAGAATGGCCTCTGAGATTTCATACCTAGTTTGTGAACGAGATCCAATGTATTCCTAAACCCTCTCTCCACAACAGCCATATCATATGGTTGTGTCTAGGTGCAGATGTTTTCAGCATCTTTTCAGAATATGTGATGAGTAGTTCATGCATCATTAATTAAACCATCAGCAAGATATGAACCAAGGACTGATACTGATATTGTATCAGTCAGTGGATACAACCATCATTGACTTAACATGAGATAGCTGCTTATGCATGTTGTAACTTTGCCTCTTGACTGCATACTTGTCACTTTTCTGTGTATATATACACAAAGAGGCATGCATACCAGTTAAAACCAGTATGGCAACATCATTTGTTCCCTTCTGCAAAAAAACACATCAAACTTAAGTGTAGCACTCTCTTTTCAGCAAAACTATTTTCCAAATCCAGTATTGTAAACAGAATTCTTTTTGATAACTCAGTACTGAGTTTATAAACGAATACCCTCAAACAAGTTTGCAGATATATTACTTGTAAAAATGGAACCTTGGAAGACAGATCATCAAGCTGAAACTTGGTAGGTTTAGTCAGAGCATAGGATTCAATACACATGGAAAAAATGAGGATGTGGCAATAACCAAATTCATTCTGCAAATGAATCCTGTAACAAATTTAACATCTAACTTCCATAGTAAATATTGGCTATCACTTGTAGGCAAACTTAAAATCGAATACACCCATTTTTGTGATGTTTACTTAAAATTACACAGAATATAATAAGGATTTGGCTCTCAGACTCAGTATATGGCAAATAATAACAAATAATAAATGATACTGAATTTAGAGATGCTCACTGAAACAATTGACTATTCAATACTCAATAAACTTAAGCCTCATCTTCGTGTGTGTTTAAAGTTTTAAAACTGATATAACTAATTAATGTTTATTGGAGAGATCTTTACTGGTTCATGTTTTTTAAACAAGTGTCTAAGTGAAGAAAAATTTGGTAATATTCAACTTTAATTGTTACAAAATACTCTGAATCACAAATTTCACTTTACAGTTATTAAGAATTTTTGAAAGTGAAAAATTTCATTTCTAAAGTTACCTCATGTCCGGGTTCTTTCTTTTTGAAGTGTAGAACTGTCCTAAAAATTAATACTCTTTTTTTTTAAATCAAATAATTGTACTTTGTATAAATAAGTTTGCAAATGAATGTTAATATCTGTGTAGAAAAAATTAGATTTGTTGCAAGATAGAAAAGTGGAGTAACTGTTTTCATCATAACGTATTTTTTTTTATCATAGACTTATTTAACTGTCACTCATCAGTAGCTGGTTTAGTATTGTAATCCATGATTGCTTAAACTGTGATTGCCTTATTATACACCAAACTGTTAATTAACATCAACTTCTAAATAAATAATACTTTTTTTTGTAACTAACACTTGTTAACAGCAATCAATTATAGTCTTTTGCATTGTAAATTTGAACTGTATGCTACAGGTTAATCAAGAACACACAAAAGAAGTATTCGGTTTAATTATTGAAGAGTTGAAAGCTATGTATATATATATGCACCGTAATATGACAGTTCTTGTTTATTAGTCGATAAGTTTTCGTTACCGTTAAAGGTTCGCGTTGATGTCATAAACAGATTCACGGCTTATAAAGATAGATATGCACATCACCGGTTCATTCCAGAAATGACTGTGAGCCAGTTCGAACCCAGTAATAACGCTGGAATGACGAGCGCGCAACACCCGCAATAAGCATCCTCACTGTGGTGTGCTAGTTTCTCGTCACCAGCCCTGTGTATTATATCCTAACTATGTGACGCACGTGTGAAATGTGAAGTCCGGGGCATGTGGCAACAAAAACAATTGACATATTGGAAATATTTCTCGTAGTGTGTCTAATAATAAAAGTGAGAGTCATGTAATTTAATGAGATTATTGTAAAATACAAATTACAATGTGTACTTGAAAGGCGTTGTTAACAGACTGGATCTATTTAGAAGGTTTGGACGACGTTTCGAGCTGCTAACGCAAATCTTCATCTTCGACTTGATGTCGAAACGTCGTCATAAACTTCCTAGACAGAAGCGGTCAATAATGAACGCCTTTCCTCTCTCTCTCTCTAAACCTTCAAGCACAAAATTACGACGTCTTAAAACTTAAGGCACTAATTAATAATACAACTAAAATGCACATAAACGTACTGTTTTTTTTGTTGTTTTTTTCAGTGTAGCTTTCTGTTGTAGACTTAGCTCTTATGACAATTACAATCAATGACTCTGGTCTTTCTGTGTCGCCCTTATAATCTCGCTCTAAATCATAGTAATATTGCCTTATATTAAACAGTATTATTACCTTTAGTGATTCTATGTTTGTTGTAAAATAAATAGTGTAGCCAGATTAAATTTATTCTAATAATTAGTATTTGTTTGTGATATAAGTCATAAGTTGGTACACGATTCCGAGAAGAGCGATTGCGTTGTTCATATGTGTGTGATATACTCACTCAGTATAAGCTAGGTCAGATCTGAGCTAAGTGTGCTCTGAAATGGTCTTAAACTTTTGATTGATAAAGTATTCAAAGTGGCATGATACCTAAAAAGTACGGTAAGATGTATAACAATCTTAAAAACAATAGATAGAAATCAATAAAATAAAAATAACCAGACGTAATTTTACACTCCAGTGGTACAGCCGTAAGTCTGTTGGCTTATGACGATAAAAACCGAGTTTTGATACCAGTGGCGGGTAGAGCA